GTTAATTGCTATTGATATTTGTTGTATAAATATTTATAAGTTATTTATCTAAACTTTGTCTTTTTTCATTACAGGATAATAACGACACAATTAAACTGAATTTGAATTTATTTAAGAGTTTCAAAGAGAATAATACATACAATGTGTTGAAGAAATATCTGCTAAGAGTTGCCAATGAGTTAGACTGCGATCAACTCATACTTATCCTGGTATTAATAATAAATATTATTATTATTTTAATTTTACATTAATTAACTTATAAATAATTTTGACAGTTAATGCCTATAATACTATTCAATCCGGAGAGACCACACATTATGCACAAAGAAGTGATTATGTATGCGAATTAATGTTATTAATTTGTATTGTATTTATGATTTTTAATAAATAATTTCATCCGTTTATCGCAGACTTCAGCAACAAATATATGTCTATATTTTGCAAAGATATCTGAGAATAAAATACGGATCAGAAAGTAAAGTGAAGACTAAATTCTTGAGGATTTTCAATGTCTTACATGATATCCAAAAGTTACAAGAATTGCACAGACAAAACTTCAAGATTATAAGCCCTGATAAATATGGACCACTTTTGAAGGAGATTCTTGATGTCCCGGCTACTTATACAGCACTATGCGCCTAATTATGCTCATCATATCATTATAAATATTATACTCATTGTTAATTCATAATTTGTGGCCACATTAATATTACTGCCATATATATATATTGTAAATAAAACAGTTTTAATTAAAATTAAAATCTTGAAAATTTCTATTATTTAAATAGTCAACATTAGGGTGGCTATTAAAAGTAATTATACCAGTATTTAACACAAAAAATACTTTATTAAAAAGTTGTTGAGGGTGAGTTAATTTCATACAAAATATATTATTTCAAAAACATATTTGTTAGAGTTGTTGGTACTGAAAAACAGCAATTAATTTCATGTTATGTTAGTTATTAAATTGTAAATAAGTTATAACTTTATTTATAATATCATAAACGTTAAACAAAATGAATAAGTTCAAGTCAAAATACTTCCCGATTGCAGTAAATTTGGTGCTTTTTGTGCTTTTAATGACTACAGGGCTCACCACTGGTGTGGACCAAAGTGTGGACTCTTCGGACAAATTTAACGCCGAGTGTCTGAAAAGTCATAACACATTCCGAGGCAAACATAAGGACACAAAAGCGGTCAAAATTAGTAAAGGATTATCGGAATCTGCGGCCAAATGTGCCACAACTCTGGCCGAGACTAACCAATTCCGTCACAGCAAAGACGCCGGTCTACTGTATGGCGAAAATCAATGGCTGGCGTTAGTCTCGACCAAAGCGGGCACTAAACCGACATACGATAGACTGACTTGCAATGAGGTGATGGCATCGTGGCACAGGGAGCAAACACTTTACAACTACACACTACCAAAAGGCGGGAACCCGAAGAATATTGAACAGGTCGGACACTTCACTCAACTCGTTTGGAGGGGTAGTAAGGAAATAGGATGTGCTAAGTCCATGCGTGAGAAAGATAGCAAGGTATATTTGGTGTGTCACTATCTGGCCGTTGGTAATATACCCGGAAAATACTCCGATAATGTTAAGCCCGAAAAATAACTTATAGTTAGCTGTCTATTTCCATTTTATATTGTAAACTCATAAGCAAGGTATATTTGGTGTGTCACTATCTGGCCGTTGGTAATATACCCGGAAAATACTCCGATAATGTTAAGCCCGAAAAATAACTTATAGTTAGCTGTCTATTTCCATTTTATATTGTAAACTCATATTATTTTTAATTTATGGTAATGTCAATGATTAACCAATGTTTTATTTTAATATTTATTAATTTATAATTATTTTCATTTCGAGTATCATTTTTTAAAGATTAATCGTTGGTTTAATTATTTGAATCGATTAGACATTTGAGGCGAAATTCTTATAATTACGGATAAAATGCAATAAATTGTTGACTGATTGCTGACACTCTTAGAAAGCATTGACTAAACCCACGATTGAGGCAATCATGACAAACCACATCCACAAGGATTGCTGGCTAACCATAGCACTGCTTACTGTCAACAATTGCGGATCATTTGGATCCGTCTGCAGAGACCATCCGACCGGGTTGTGCGCCAAGATCTTCATCGAGTGCTGACCCGATGGCACCTCCACTACGATGTCGTATGTGTTGTTAGCCAATGGATTTCGGTTCGCTTCAAATACAATCAAATGGGTTACATTATAATCAGTTCACAAGGATTATAACACTCTTACAGGCGTTGAAATAAATGTGTTGTTTGTCAGAAATTTCCAATTTGTAAGTATCAATCGGTGGCTCAACTCTTGTGTCATTAACTGTCA